TATTTATAACCAATACAAAGCCAAAGTCTTAATCTATCAAATATGTATTATGTTACATTTTCTGTACAAAGAATTGTCTATTTCACTCCCAGTTCAAACTTTATTCCTACAGAAAACACACTGACAAGCTTAGCTGAATTTATTGCATTATTAGAGAGCCAGAAAAATTATGATAGTTACAGGACATTGTCTACAGCAAAAAAGAAGACACAGGTAAGTACTATATTTATTTTTCACATGTATTCTTTATTTATTATTATAAAAGTAACTAAATATAAAATTTAGAAACTTAAGTTAGATAAGGTTAGATTAAGTATGATAATAAAAACAATAACAATAATAATTATTCATGGGGAGTACTCGCAAGCAGCTTGTGCATGATGTAATTCAATACAGTAACATTAACTACATGTGATTTACAATTTGCGTGGCAAAATTATTAGTTACACACAGTTCAAAGGGCAATAAAACAATAAAATTATGTATAAATAAATAAATATACACTGTTACAAGTTTTAAGCTATTTAGGACAAACATTTGCAGTTTTCTGATGCAATCTGGGGTCTTTCTTCCTAGAATTTACACAAATGAAATTTGACAATTCTCAGATGAAAAGAAGTATTTATAATCTTAACACAAAAATAACTTAACACTTGGAGCAGTCAACACACTCTTGACTCTTTATAATTATACATATTTTTAGTTAAAAAATAAAAAATTGAATTTTTTTTGTCTGCAATAGATTTAATGTTTACTGAAACTTGCCAAATTTCATGAATATATATTAATTACTTTCACAGTTATAGTATGTATATCACCATGGTTACATGGCCGTGTAAAATACACAAGCCAGTTGCACAAGGATTAATTTAAAATTACTATTCCGATGCCTTTGCTTGATCTAATACCAACAGTATACTTACCAAGATTAATAATTAAATATAGTCTTTACTGCTGACACTATATCACAATCTTTAAGTTCTATAAATTAACTAGAAAAAGGAATTTTTAACTTACAATCCCCATTCTGAGTGCAAAGTAAGAGCTGTCACCCCTGCAGGAGGACTCAGCTGCACAACAACCATGTGCTGAAAGCCAGGTTCTAATGTTTGCTCCCCACTCTTGATGTTTAATTGGTCATGACCTTTCCAAATAAAATTATCTCGGTCCCCTACAATATTTACTTGAGATACCTGAAAGAAAAAATTAGCTCTAATTGTTCAATAGTTATTAAAATTATAAACATTAGAACTTAAACATATTTAAAATCCAAGGTTAATTTCAAAGGACAGTTTATGTGAAACCTTTGTCTAACACAGTTCACTTAGTACCACCTGTAAAGTTTATTTTTTTTTGGTAACCATTTATGACAACACATGAAAAAAAACTAAAATGAGAAACATGAATTTGGTTAACAAATGTCAGTTATGAGTAAATTTATTCAAAACCACACTGCAACTTCCAGTTTCATAACTAAACGTTTTACTTATTTATTTTTTTCCCATTTTGGAAGTTTTTCATGGCTTCTCAAGATTCCATGTGTAGTTAAGACACTTGGTGCATATTATTTACTTTACTGACAATCTGCTACAGTATTAGTATAGATGAAATATCTTAAAAGTTGCAACAAATTTTCTAAAAGTTAAGAAGCTTCTGCAAATAAAACTTTTTTTATGAACTCAGTTATGTATATTTTCAAGAAATTAAAAATATTTACTTTTGTTGTATATTTCAATTACTGAGTTTTACGTCCTCCTCTGATATTTTAAAACATTTCTTACTTTACAACTTTTCATGGTATACCAATAAGTATAGTATAATAACATAGCTAATAATCCCTATGTTAATATTATACAGGTTTAAATACTTAATTTTAAAGGCAATATTTTTGTTAAAATCCTGAATTTCCCCTAGTATAAGGATTATGACATTTTCTCTCTCTTGACATTCCCTCTTCTCTAATTTATTTATCACCTAACAAAGAAGTATGAAATTTAATGCAAATTACTCATTATAATGTTGTAATCACTCAGGTAAAGCATAATTTTCAGTATTCAATCTCATTTGTTTACAGAGCCATGAAATAGAAAATCAGTCCCCTCTTGCCATGTCTACCTGTCACATCTTCTCTTTCAGAAATTGCTAATAGTTCTCTCTGATGTTCAACACTATATTATTTATATCCAATAGATAGCCAATATTTTCATATATGAAATGAAATATTATATTTTGTTTTCTATTCATAGAATTGTCAATTTTGCTTTAAGTTCAAGTTTGATTCCCATGGGAAACACATCAACTAGCTCAGATTAATTTGTAGTGGCTCTTGTCGCATAGTTAAAGTCAGAAAAATTGTGATAGTTATGGGACCATGTCTGCTTTTTGCATGTTATTATTCTGTGTTCTTTGGTACACTAATTAATTAAATAAATAAAAAATTATTTAGTGCAGTAGTATCATTAGTAATAAAAATATCATTGACAGTTGACAGCAAAATGACATAGGTAAGTATGTTATTTTTTGTTTTACATGTGTGTTCTTTATTTATTATTATAAAAACAACTAAAATGTAAAAATAGGAAAATTTTTAGGCTAGTTAAGGTTAGGTAAAATAAATAATACAATAAAAAATTTTCATGAAGTGCACTCTTAAGTACTGCAATTGGATAGCATAACTTATAATGGGGAGAATGGTAGTTCGATATAAATCAAAGGGCAATAACACAATAAACTTTAAGTATAAATAGATGTATACTGTTACAGGTTTAAAGGTATTTAGAATAAATAAATGTAGTTTGTGTTACAATTTGAAGTCCTTCTAGAAAGAAAAAGAGTAATTTGGATTTATTTCAACTTTTTTTTTTTTCTGGTAGTCACGAGGTCAGTTAAATTCAAGAACCTGGTATAGTTAGAAATTAACAGATAAAATATAAAGTTTCACTGAAAAAAAATGTTTGAAAATTATTTAGGAGGTTTTAGAGATTATGCAAATGAAATTTGAAAATTTTGAGACAGAGGAAATTATTTTTAATCCTACCTCTATGGGTCTTCCTATGGTCAGAGGTCAAAGGGTATGTTATCACATTTGTAGACTTACATTCACAATTTTTTTTCGAACTACTATTTTATGAATTTATGTCAATAAGTTTGGTATCAAATTGCAGATTATAATTCAAATGTTAGTATTATACATTGATTAATTTCTTAAATTAAAAGTAAATATTTAAAAAAATCCTATATATTAATTTTTTGTGTTATATGGCATGTTGAATGCAGCTTTAGTTAAAATTAGATGTTTATGATGTTCAGATACAAAGTCCGTATTTGCTTACAAATCAGAAACTCAAATTACCAATACTGACAAACTAGAATATCAAATAAGAACCTCCTATCTTTTCTAGTTTCTGAGATATTATATTTAATGAATCAACCAAGGTAGCACCACCTACCTCTTCCATTTTTGGAAATGCTTGCTTACACGTACTTTGTTTTCTGAGGTATGTATAATTTAAGATTTTTTATTATTTCAAAATGCATATATAAAACCTAAAAAAATTATTTTGTTTTACATCATCCACTTGCCAAATTTGATAAGGCTTAACAAATTATGGCAAGTGGCAAATGAGTACAAAGTTCATACGTAAAACAGATCATTTTCTATACTTCTTTATTTACTGTTCTATGTTTTAAGAACTTAATTGAAATTGTAATAATACATATGTAATGTATTGTAACTGAAATGTGACTGTATTTTACAAAATACTGGTCTACTAGAACAAAGCCAAGACAGGTCACTTTGTAAAGGCCAGTTTTAAACTATTGGATACAGTAACAAGTGCATGTGTGCCACATCATTGCAACCTCTGTAATGTTAGTCAGACAAGGCTAGAAAAAAAACAATAAGATAAAAATTATATATATATATAATGTTATGAGATTTAAGCTATTTAGACTAAACATCTGTGGTTTTGTGTTATAATTTGTAGTTGTCCTAAAATGAAATAAGCATAACTTATATCTGTTTCCTAATTTTTTATGGTGGTTATGGGGTTGGTCAAATCATCCAAACCCATACAGAAATACAAAAGTGAAATACAAAATTTGTTCTTAAAATAAAATGCTTGATAATTATCTGAAGATTATAGAGGTTTCACAGGTAAAATTTGATAATTTTCTGATGCATAAAGTATTTTTAATCCTAAAATTAAAATTACTTTGCATGTTGGACAGTTAACATTCAATAAGAAAAAATACACAAGCAAATAATTATTAAAAAATCTGATATTTTGTGTATGAAAGCCTTGTAATGTTTACTGATAATATGAAATATTTTGTGAAGATACGCGTATATTTTAAAAATTACAGTATAACTGCTTTATGGTTAACTTTGGGGGATTTCACCCTCCTACAGTAAAAGGGTTAATCTTAACATGGAAATCACTTTGCACTCAGACCAGTAAAAAAAGAAAAAAAGATTATATATATATATATGTATGTGTGTGTATATATATATATATATATATATATATATATATATATGT